CCAGGTGACTCGTCCGCAACAAAGGAGACGAAATAGTAACACCCACAGGCATCGCCCCATGATCGCTTTCTGCCTCAGGGCAAGCCCAGGGAAACCTGAAATCAAATGCTCAGCCTCAGAGATTTTCCGGGAGCTACTGTGAGGCTAGTTCTTTCCAGAAATGTTCTAAAGGGGCTGCAGGGTGGCCGGGCTGCAGCACTTCCCTGACCTGCTTCTAGATCTTTCTTGGGCAGTGGGGTTGTCTAATGAGTTTGCATACCTTCTTGGTAAAATCTGCTGCAGCAGCCCCCGAATCCTGCAAAGGAGTGAAGTACAGGTTAATTTAACAGGAACCACATCCCCGAGGCTTGCAGGGGTTATACTGTGACCCTGCTTGCTTTCCAAGGTAGCCAGAAGTCAGGTGCAAAAAAGCCCTTCAAGGAAGCAGCTAATCATTGAGTCAAATACAATTTCCTGTTCCAGAAGGAAGCTCGTTTTCTTGTTGGAGTTACCCTCTGGGTCCAGGACGATGTTAAATTTGCTTGCTATTCCCAACAGCCTTGACTTGAATTTGACCCCTAGCTTAGCAAATTTTCAAGGATAAGCCATTTCAGCTTCTTTGGCTCCTCTTTCCCTGTGGGTCTGGCCCGACAATGGAGGCAGGTTCAACCTGGAAGCCTGCGGTCAACATTAGAGCAGACAACCTGATGCCTGTGCTTCGGACCACCAACCAATTTCTCAGGAAGTGAGCAGTTCTCTGGGGTCTTGGCGTTTTCAGAGCTGAAACCAGGAATGTCCTGGGCAAACTCAGATGAGTTGGTCACCCTGCTAGGGCTCACAGGGTCCAAAAATTTTTCTTTGTTTTGCTACCATGCAAGAAAACCTTGATAAACGTTTTGAACAAGTTTAGCTATTAATGCAACTAGTCATTCTAAACTTAACTTTTTTTAATTTAAAAAAAATCTTTTATTTTAAAGAAAAAAAGCTCTGAGATAGGAATGAACGGGCAGATGGGACAATGGGAAGCAGAGTAAAGGACCAAGCCAAGTGTCTATGTCACGAGGAGGAAGCAGAAGACACGAGGAAAATGAAAAAAACAACACGAACACGAAACCGGAAATGGATGAAGGGCGCAGACGAGGAGAGAACATCACGGAAGACATCACGCAGCCAACATGAGGGGCTGCCGTGGAGAGACTGAGGCTGGGGAGGTTAAGACACTTGTGCAGGGAGAAAGTGCAAGTGAGCCCCAAGGCAGCGACACGCATTTACCACGGTGATGTGCACTTTCAGTGGCAGAAAAATATGGTGGAAGGAAAACGCACATACGCGCTGGCGAAATCTTTTCATCCTGCGGTTCGTGAGCTTCGCAGCCAGACGCATTAGAGGGTGCACAGGACGAAACTGCAGCAAAGAGGCATGAGAGTCAGGCTGCACAGCGCTGTGCCGGGGCCCAGGCTATGCGCTTTCCTGTCTGCTCCCTCCCTTACAAATGGGTGTAATTTTCAGAGGAAAGTCCCATTTCCCAGCCCAAGCTTGAAATTTTATGATTTCAATAAAGAACCACTTGCCTTGCTAGCAGGTTTCATTCCAACACATCCCTTAAGACTATTCCCTTAGGGTAAGTCAGCCTCGTATCTGCATTAACCCCAAGCATTCCGTCCTCCTAGTGTTGCATGCATCATCCCAAAGAAGCATCTCGTGAAGATCCTCTCTGGCCCCCCAGGTGTGCTCTCCCAATCTAAGGGATTGGGGAAGGGCAGCATCCATGACCCCCTCCCTGATGCATTTATTTCCCTGTACATCTCCTCTGACTGCCCGCAAACACTCAGACTTCCATGCCCTGTCTTATCTGTCCTGTGAAGCCTCCCTGAGAGGCTCAGAGTAAAAGTTAATTCGTGTCACGGACCCAGAGTTTATCTTTTCCTTTCCATTTTTGCCCTTTCTCATTTGCAGGGCCCAGAGCCCTCCTTGATGATATCGCCATCCTTACCAGATCCCCATCACTAACCCAGTACTATTCTTGGCCTCATAGGGAAAAACCAGTATTTTTGCTTGTATTTGCTTTTTTTTTTTTAAGTTATAGTCAGTTTACAATGTTGCGTCAATTTCTGGTGTACAGCAGAGTGTTTCAGTCATACAAATACTTGTTTTACATCCTTTTTCATTATAGGTTACTACAAGGTATTGAGTATAGTTCCCTGCACTATACAGTAGAAACTTGTTGTTTATCTATTTTGTATATAGTAGTTAGTACCTGCGAATCTCGAACTCCCAATTTATCCCCCACCCCCCGTAAACATAAGTTTGTTTTCTATGTCTGTGAGTCTGGTTCTGATTTTTTAAGGATCTTCCTGAAGACTTGGAAAGCCTTGATTAGATAAATAAGTGACTTTATAATAGTAGAATTTTAATTGCTGTGACTAGGTAACTTGAATTAAAAAATTATTTTCTATGACCTTCCCAAAAGTCTCCAAATCATACCCTGCAGAAATTCACTTAAACCACCTGTTCCTGAGGGTAACTCAAATTTGTAATAAGAAACTTAAGGGTGATGCTTTTTATTCCCAGAGCATACACTCACCAAGACACAAAACACACATCCATGCATCACTACAGGGGTGTGGATACTTACACTTCACAAATCTTTCAAAATTTTAAAAAACAGAATATGGAACAATGAAAAATAGAGCTCAGTGTTTACCAGGCTCTTCTTGTACATCTAAGTGCATAATAAAAAAAAGTTATTTCTTGCTAAATTTTTCCTTTTTGGTAATTTATTCTCTAGCTTTTCAGGTCTGTCAGCCTCCCCCAACCCCTTCCATGGAGAAGGAGAGAGAGAATCCTTGCAGTCCCAGGAAAAAGCATGTAGGAAGCTATTACACAGTGTCCGGAAGAGTATTTCTACCTCTCTGCAGATATGAACTGAGAAAGGACAAAGGCACACAGAGGAGAATGACTTTTACAGAAAGATGATTAGAATAAAATACTGACCCCAGTTTTAACTGGATGTGTCGGCTCCTGGTTTCTGGAGTAGTGAAATAGAAACTAAGTAAGAGAAAAAGAAGGTTGATTTTAGGATTAAGTGTCACTCACTGTAAAGGTGAAAGGAGCATGTGTTTGTGGCGGGACTGGGCGGGACTCACCCTTTTGCAGATGTCTTGATCATCCTGGAAAGAGAATTGTGAGGCTGAATCACAGGGAATTTTACTGGGGCAGGAGACTGATGAGGTTTCCAGTAGAAGTTACACGAGGGACCTTACTGATTTACCTGAATATTATGAGGTAAATTGGCAATCTAAAAAGAAATCTGTTATAGAAACTTAATAAGACTACAATTAATGCAGGATCTTAAAAAGAAGAAACTTGCCAGCAATGTCATTATTTTAAAAGTTAATCTTATTTTACCTTTTCAATCTTCAAGGGAATAACATACTCTATGACGAATTGAAACTATACACTAATCAAGTCCCAGAGAGCCTTCTGACTCAGAGGTGGAATAAAATAATGACTGCAATGTTTAACTAGCTGCCGGGTGTCACCTAGAATTTAGCTTTTTCAGGGTTGGTTCCTATTTGTCAAATTTTCCCTCCAAATGCTTTCTACATGAATCTTCGTTTTTCTTGCAGAAAGCCAAGCTTTTAATGTCCAAATCCTTGTTAGAACACCACCCTGCCCTGTCTGCACGGAGGATAGCTGGGAAAAAGCCGTGACAGCAGCGTATCCTACTCAAGGATGTGCTGTGTGTGATCTTTCAAATAGGCTGATCTGGTTACGATTGATCTCATTTCATTCACATTTAAACATTCTTGAATCAGCCCAAACTTCAATCAAGACAAATGAAAGCTGTTAGTAGCTCTTCTAATTTTTGTTGCTGTGAGTATGTCTTCCTACAAACTTCGTGGAGAATTTTGGCGGTAACCAATAATTACGTATTCTCTCTTTCTCTCTCTGTTATGCACGTGCACGTACAGACGTGCATAAGGGCACACACAGAGACACACACAATAATTAACCAAAATTACTCATAGCAGACGCTCAGTGGAAATTGACTCTCTATTTCCTAATTATCACTATTTCTAAATCATCAGAAAATATTTACTATTTTTACAGCTCCCGGTCTCTTTGTCAGCTTCCATATGTGTGTGTGTGTCTGTGTGTGTGTGTGTGTGTGTTCTGGACACTACTGGGCAAACAATATCTATCTATCTATCTATATATATATTTTTTTTACCATGTTCACCAACTTTATACCGTTACTTTTCAAACCAGAAAAAAAAAACCCCAAGAAATTTGAAGATGCTTTTCCAGGTGCTGAACATCACTCTCAAGATTTCATATGCACCTTCCTTGTTTTTTAAGAGACAAATATTTAAAATTTTTATTTATCTATCTTGTATACTGTTTATTTCCCCAACTAGAATGTAAGTTCCATAAAAGCAGGTAGTTTTGTCTGTTTTGATCACAACTCTATCCTCAGAACTGGAGACATGACGTGCTCTCAGTAAATACCTTTTTGAATGAATGAATAGTAGGGCTGTGTTCACAAGAATCTGTTGCCTCTTTTCTCATCTAGACTCCTGATTCCACGTGGTGACCAGAAACACAAAACATGAAGAGTGTTTGCAGGTGTCATTATTTGTAGGGTAAAACTGTTTTCTGAATTGTCTCAAAATAAAAGTCCCCTGCAGACATAGACCTGGAGACCAGAACTGGAGGTGGATTAGAGCCCAGGTAACTCATCCAGACACTGGATGGCAGAGGGAACCAAAGCCCCAGGGAAGACAGGGACAAGCCAAAGATGACATTTCAAGGCAGTGACAAGACCAGGAAGAGCCACAGTCTATTAATAACTGTAAAATATGGGTAGCTTTGTTCAATGAGCATCCCTTGCTTTACTGCAATTGAAAACAATGAACAGGATCCACTTTGGGAAAATACAGAAGGTGGAAGGAAATTCATTCCAAGAGGTCCTTTGCACTAGGGAACCACGCAACCCAATACTGCAGGTAGCACATGTGACAGCCACACTTCCACTTTCTCTGCTCATGCAGACACCCTCACAGCCTGCACATGGTGGGCAGGGCAGTCCCTTCAACATGAAGCCAGGAGGCAAGGAGATGGAGACCTCTGAGGTCTCATCTTAAATTTTTGCCCTCAGTGCTAAGACTGTAAAGATTAGTTCTAAAGATGAGAAATTACAATTGTCTTCAAAGATATGCATAATGGTAAACTGAAAATAAGAATCAATAGGCATGATCTATTTATGAGGTTTAGGAGAGAAACTGATGTTTGAATCTCGAAGAATGAAAATTTGTTACAAAAAGAGACAATGGTAACAGTTGGCATTTAAGTGATGTCCTTTGTGATGCTCTGGACACTGTGGATATAACACCTCACAACTACTGAAATAATCAATCCTCACAATAACATTATGAGGCTAGTATGACGATTATTCCCATATTACAGATGGGGAAACTGAGACACAGAGCAATTAAGAAACTTGCCAAGGTTAAGTAGATCTGGGTTATTGAAGCCAGGTACTTTGGTTTTTGAGTCTGGGTTGTTAACTACAGCCTTAGAAGGAGTCAGAGGCATTTTTGGCTAAGGAGAAGTGTTTGCAAAGACATAAGGTCTTATGCATGTAGAGAATAGTGAGTGAAAACATACCATCTCAAGGTGAAAAGAAATCTCTGCTAAGAATCATGGACTACCCTGATACCAGCCTCCTGCACTTTCCACTGAATCAACATTTACTTTGCATTCATTGAAATATTTTTGTTGTGGTTACTGTAGTTACTGTTAGTTCCTTTACATGAGATCTATTGTTTTGGAGAACATAGCATATCAATTTATAATGTATGTCTTGATATATCATATTATACATAATTAATATAACTGTATGTGTTTATGTCATTAGGTATATGATATGTATATGTGATTATGATAATTGTAAGCATGCAGATGAACTAACAATATTTTATGGTCGTTTATATTTAAGGTATTCACCTTTTATCTCCTAAAACTATATTCTTACACACACACTTACACATACACACAGAATTCTCCTATAGGCAGCAAAAGAGAGTGCTTATTACAGATATCAATTATGGTGTAAACACATTCACAGTTATAAATAAAAGAATTATCATATGTATATTATTTATTTTTACCTTGGGTTGTCTAGAAAGAGTTGCCCAATATGCCAGCCGCTAAAAAAAAATGAGGAAAATGAATCAAAGATAAGTACAAATTCCTTAATCAATAGAATTTTATTACCACACACATAAAATTCTAAAATTGTCCCATTTATGAACCTTGCATTATCTTCTCATATAGCGGCAGTGAATTTCAACACAAGCCCCAGGATGCCTTAAATGAGGCCATGAAAATGACAACAGTGAATTCCTGCTGCAGCCAAGAATCTGATCTTAAAATAGTTTAAGTGAACATTATCCACATGATATTTTCAAGGCTGAGATTAAAATAAAAAATCTCACATTATATATTGAACAATGGTGTACCTCAAGCTGCACAACATCCAAGCCACCTGGAGGATCAGCTAAATGTCGAGGAAATCCTATTGTGAAAAATCATAAAAATCTCGATTAGGAGAAAAGAGGTTGTAGCCTTAACTTTTAAATCTTTACCACCAAAAAAATACAGCAATTCTATTAATACGAAATTGCGAAAAGGATCGACAAAGAAAACACATCTGCCTACCACTAGCAAACCTGAGATTTGTACCGAAACTAATTTAAAATTGCATTTTTAAAAATTTACCAAAAGCTAGCAGCACAAGAGTTAGCAAGCCAGGAAAGAGGGGAGAAAAAACTTAAGTGACAATTTATTTGTATTTTGATGGAATGTATAAGGACAGGATATCAGGAAATGGTGTCAATAAGAATGTGCCTCAGAATCACTTTTTGGAACTTTTAAGAAATATAGATACCTATCTCTCGGTTTTATCAGACTCTTTAGGAGTAGGGTTATGGGGAAAGTTGCTTCCAGCATGCAGCTGAATCTTGTACCAGTCGACTTTTATCTGATCTAAATAAAGTCTTCATCTTACTGCATGTGATACAACACTTGGAGGAATAGCTAATACTGCAATTGAAACAATCAACCGGATAGGTCAAAACTAACAAGATAAAATTAAGTAAGAGAAATATAAGATCCTGAATTTAGATTTTAAAAATCTGGGACAGGAAATATCTATATATATTTAAATACTGAGTGATACATTGCTCACTGCAGGCTCATAAGCTAAGGCAATCTTGTGCTATATTCAAATATTAGTGTCCCAACCTTGAAAGGTAATAGCCCTACTTGAAATGATAAGATATGTGATGAATTAAAGGAACTGAATGTAGTTTTCTTTGGCAAAGAGAAAAATTAGAAAGTGTGTGTTAACTGCCTTCAACTATTTTGAGAACTGTCATAAAAGATATTATTATCTGTATATCCCCAAATATATACAGATATATAAATATATACAAATATATATAGATATAGTATTCTGTATATCCCCAAAGAGCAGGTCTATAGCTAATGGTTAGAAATTACATGTGATCAGAATTCAGTTTAGTGTAAAAAAAAGTTTTTGATGATTGGAGCTATTCAAAAATGCAAAGTAATTCAAACCAATCCTGTAAGGATTTATTAAGAGGCTCTGTGTTAACAATACAGTGATAAAGATCAGAGGGATCTTATCCTCGGGAACATAAAATTAAATAGGAAAAAAGAGGGAGGTGGATATAAATATGTAGACAGATAAATAAAAGGTAGTAAGGAACTTCCAAAAGTGTAATGCAAACAAGATTCTATTGGAAACCTGGAAAGGCAGCTACTGGCTGACTTAGGTTGGTAGTGAGTTGCTTGTCTCTGTAAGTAATTAAATAGGGAAATCATAGAGACGATCCTTGCTATCTCGAGAAGTTAATCTAGATGACTTCCACGGTTCCTTGCAATGCCTAGGTTTTGTGATTTTACTACACAGCAAAACAAACATGCTATTTGAAATATGTTTTCTGTTTGAATATATTTTCAAAGATTTTTCCACTCCCTTAAATAAAAATTCTAATGAAAAAATGTAAAATTTTGAAATAGTTTGTGTTTCCAATCAGAGCTTCCAGCACATCCTGCATAATATGGTGAATTACCTAGAGATGCGTAACGAATTCCTACTGCAGACCCCATACCCCACCCCATGGTTCCTTACAAACACACTGGTTCTCCGAAGTTAATGAAGCGACACTGCGTCCGGTCAGCACCTCGGACAGCACCCAAGCCCAGGAAGTCTCGGGGCTTTAGCAGCGATCCCTGGGACCCTGCCTCCCAGGGCCCGCAGGAAAGGCTATGAGAAGATGCCCTTCTGTGCGCGCTCCTGCGCCACCCACTTCCAACCGTCCCTCAATCCTCAGTCTTTGGGACTGTAAATTCAACTTTACCCTCTCTGTTTTCTCCTCTCTTCAGAATTTTTGAAAGCACAAAATAGCTAAGACGTTGGAGTCGTCCCCTAGCTCATATCCTTCACAATTTCAGCAGCACGTCCTGGGGACAGTCCTGCACCAGGAGCTGTTTAGAGGAGAAAGTAGCCCCCTTTGTTAACAGGCGGCAGCATCCAGCTCTGTCCAACCTCTCTGAAGGTTAGAAGCAAATGGAAGCCATTTCGAGAGGGTTGAAATGAGGATAGGTGAGGGGAACAAGATAGACTCCCTCTAGAACCACCCTGAAGGATCAAAGTCTGTTGCAGTCTTCCTTAGAGCTCAGGCCAGCTGGGACCTGAAGAAGGGGTCCCCTTACCTGAGGAGGGAATCTGTAGCATGCAGAAACAATAGATGGCCAAGATGGTTGGGAAATGGGCAAGAAGACGTTTCATCTTCAAAGTCTGGTTTCTCCCTGCTGGCCACAGATGTGTTCTGCTAGGACAGGAACTGAGCATTTCCCGAAGTTCTGCAGGCGGGGGCAACCCTCGGCCCTGCGTCTGACCCAGTGGAGAAGCTGACTTTATTCTCAACACCCTGGAGCCCATTGGCTGAGCACCAATCAGCTTTGCACAGGAGGACTCAGCTTTCTCATAAATGTCACGCTGGGCCCTTATTTGTAGAATAATATCCTCCTGGTGTAGGCATTGTAGAGTCATCTTTTTCAACCCAGCAATAAAAATAAAAAGTGGAGAGTCATAATTGTTATTCTGTAGTGGTTTGAGAAACATTTCTGACTCAGAAAAGGCTTTTTCTCTTTTTTAATCAAAGCACTGGACATAAATCTATAAACTCTTGGATGATGAAGCCTTGTTTTATAAGAAGCTGTTTATTTTCCACCATTAGCAAAGGATGCTTTGTAGTCTTTGGTGCATCTGAGAACAAAATTTGGGGTCCTGGACATAATACTGCAAGAACCTCAAAAGTTCAATTAGAGTTGCTTTTTTTAAAAAAAAATTATGACGGGAAGTTAGAGTTCTTAAGGTTTCTCCAGATTCATTTCTAGGAACAAGTTAAATATTTCAAATTAAATCAGTCTTCAATCCAATCTGATTTAATTAAATCAAATTAAATGGCAGTGTTTAATAATAATAATAATAAATAATAACAACAACAACAACAAAATGACTCCATCTATTGAGCTCCTGTTTAGGATTTCACACAGATTATTTCATGTAATCTCACAGAACACCCACAAGGAATGTATTATAATCCTAATTTTATGAATGGGGAAATTGAAGCGGGCAGAAATTAAGGAACTTGCCATCAAGGATACAGAGCAGGGATTTGGACCCAAGGGTCATGTCGGTAACAGTGTAGAATTTTAGCTGATATGTCATTTTTTTTCCCCTGAAAAGAGCCTCCTTGAAGGTTGGATATGAGATAGAAAGCAGGAAAAAGAATGAAATCTGCTCCCTTGCAAAAAGGGTAACGTATGGCACATACAAAACATCTTTAGGTTTTTTCATCATGCATATCTTTACTTTTTGCTTTTTTAAGGATTAGGAAAATAACTTTGGGTGGAAGTTGCTCAGAATGGACTGTTTATTTATGATTTAAAATACCGTATTTTGCCAAAAAAAGTCTAATTCATAACAGAGTAAGAATTATAAACTACTTTCTAGTCATTGTATTTTGTCTATTTCCTTGAGCCAGCAAGAAATAAAGATTTCTGTTTATTACAGTTTTTACCACTTTGGTTCAAGAAGAATAACCAAGGTCTTTAAACACCAGTTGGAGATGTGTTAAAATCTTTTGTGTTAAAATCCACCCAATGCCTAATGGCAAGTCTACTGAATGAATGAACAATTGAGTGATTTCTGTTTGAATATTTTTGAAATCTACCTATGTGGTATTAAATGCAACGACTTATGGACATTTTAGACACAAAACACACATGTGAAAGCAAAGATCTGTGGCAGTTCTACACAGTGTCAATCAACAAGTGCTTTTTGAACATCTGGTCTGTGTCTACCAGTGAACTAGGTGCTCTGTACACAAACATGCATTTTTCAAATAAACCTATAGGATAACTGATTTGTATCAAATTAATTTTGTTTCCTTTGCATATTTTGCACACATTACTTTTCATATGTTCAGGATAAAAATTAAAATATTGTTTTTAATGATAATTCAGAAATAGGGAAAAAGACAAAACAAGAAAAAAATCTGCATTGACACTATTCAACATCATTGATATGGACTGAATTATGCCCCTGCCCACACCCCGCCAATTCATGTGTTGAAGTTCTGACCCCAGTGTGACTGTATTTGGAGACAGAGCTTTTAAGGAGGTCCTTAAGGTTAAATGAGGCATAAAGATGGGGCCCTAATGCAATAGGACTGGTGTCTTTATAAGAAGAGGAAGAGACACGAGCACTCTCTCTCTCTCTAGGCATACACAGAGGGAAGGCCAGGGGAAGACACAGCAAAAAGGCACTGTCTGCAGGCTGAGGGGAGAGGTCTCACCAGAAACAAGCTTACTGGAGCCTTGATCTCAGACTTCCAGTCTCCAAACTGGGAGAAAATTAATTTCTCTTTTTCAAGCCACTCATTCTGTGGAGTTTTGTTATGGCAGCCCAAGCAGACTAACACAAACACAGGGATTATTTAGCCAATTCAACACAAAAAAATAAAAATAAAATAATGAAATGAACGGCAAAGGTAGAAACTCTCATGGTTTAAAATGATATGATTATCTACCCAAAGGAGTCCAAAGGAATCAACTGGCAAATTATCAGAATGAGTAAGAGTTCACCTAAATTGTCAGATTTAAAGAAAACTATTTTCAGGAATAATTTTCTTAGACATAAGCAAAGATAAATTGGAAGACGTTTATTAGAAAATGTAAACAGCTTAAAACACTATGAAATACTGAAGGCTAAAGTAAAGAATAAATGTGCAATATACTAAGAAACAAAAATACAAAACTTTACTAAAGGACATAAATGAATACGTGAATAAATGAAAATTTGTATCATGATCTTTGACAACAGTCAATGTTATTAAAGTTTCAACTGATGGCAAATTAATCTACAAAGTCAATGTAATCCTTATTAAAATTCCAAAATGACTTTTCATAAAATTTTAAGACTGATTCTGAAATTAATTTGGAGGAGAAAATATTCAAGAATATTCAAGAAATTTCTGCAAATCAAAACTACAATGAGGTATCACCTCACATC